AAGTTTGAATACTAAACCTTTTTTTTTTTTTTTGGCTTAATTTTGCATATGGCAACTTCTAATTATCGCATCAGATAAATCTTTAACTAAGCGTTATGCTGATGTAATTTTCCCAGGAAAAGTTAGAAACTCACTGGCTTCTCCGTGGAAAGTGTCCGGTGAGGGGTTGAGATGGGTTCTGAAAGGATCAAAAGCAACTTACACTCTGCCCGTAACGAGTCAGAAGAGAAAATTCTTGATTCACGGGGATCTTTCCTTCAAAGCTGGAACAAAATATATCCCCTATTCTGCATAACTGCTGTGGCACTGGACCCTCTTTTCTTCTACATCCCAGTGGTTGTGAATGACAAAAACCGAAAATGCCTCAACCTGGATAAAAGACTGGGAATCATTGCCTGTGTCCTTCGTACATTCATGGATGCCTTCCGTATAATTCACATGATCTTTCAATTCCGAACCGGCTTCCTTGCCGCTTCTTCTAGAGACTTTGGTGCTCGGACTATGGCAAAGAGGTACTTGTTCACATACTTCATCATCGACGTCCTGGCAATTCTTCCACTTCCACAGGTTTGTTGCTTCTCTGTAGTAAGTCCCAATTAAGTTCGTCAATATATCATCAAAGAAAAGATTGCAACGTAACAATTCCTGTTACTTTGTGTTCTCTCTCAGCTTGTAATTTTGCTTATCGTCCCTTCATTGAAAGACCAGCCGGTTGCATTTGTAACGAAGGAGTCGTTGAAATACATTATTATCTGTCAATATGTACCGAGAATTGTTCGAATTGTTCCCCTTTATATAGAACTTACAAGCCCTTCAGGCGCTGTCACTGAAAATGCTGGTGCTATAGCTGCACTTAATCTATGCATCTGCATGCTAGCCAGCCATGTAAGTGCCTTTTTTTTTTTCTTTCTTTTTTCTTTTTTTGGGACAGTTTGGACTTCCTTACACTCAAATAAACCTTTCAATTCCAGTTATTTGGGGCCATCTGGTACTTGATGTCAATAGAAAGACAAGAACGGTGTTGGCGTGATGTTGCTATAAAATATGGGCATAACCGAGATCTTTTGTACTGTAATGATGATAAAGACCCTAGACGAACCGATAATTCATCAAACCCTGATTTGCTGTCTCTCCTGAACACTTACTGCCCTTTGATCAATCCTGATGATATTACAAATTCAACAGTCTTCAATTTTGGAATATTCACTGATGCACTCCAGTCAGAGACCGTGGAAAGTTGGGATTTCCCTAAAAAATTCTTTTACTGCTTCTGGTGGGGTCTGCGTAGTCTCAGGTTTGTATGTCACAATCTCCGTATTGATTATTGAGTAACACAAAAATTAATGTTTTCCTTATTCATTCTCAGCTCTCTAGGGCAGAATCTGAAAACAAGCAATTTTGTTGGGGAGACGATATTTGCTATTGTCATTTCCATTGCTGGACTGTTTTTGTTTGCAATACTTATTAGCAGCATACAGGTATTTCTTGATGCTTTTCATGTTCCATCTTTTATTTAGTGAATATGTCTAATATTGTTTCTCTTACTTTTATATAAATATATGCAGTCAATGACTGCAGTAAAGGTTGAAGAAATGAGAATCACAAATGCAGAGCGATGGATGAACAATATAAACCTACCGGAGAACCTAAGGAAAAGAATCCGGCGGTATCTACAGTATAAATGGCAACAAACCAGAGGAGTTCAAGAAGAGAGTCTAATTAGTTGCCTTCCAAGAGATCTCAGGCGAGGCATAAAGCGTCATCTTTGCTTGGATTTGCTCATGAGAGTAAGAACTTTCCTAAAAGCATCACATCTCTGTAAGTTCATACCCAGCATAAGATCAACGCTAACATTCTTTCTTCAGGTACCCATGTTTGAGAAAATGGATGAGCAGCTGTTATATGCAATGTGTGATCGTCTCAAAAGGGTACTTTACACTGAAAAAAGCTACATTGAAAGGGAGGGGGATCCGGTGGAGGAGATGCTGTTTATAATACGAGGAAATTTGGTCAGCACCACCACCAACGGCGGAATAACTGGCTTCTTCAATGCTGTTAATCTCAAAGCCGGTGACTTTTGTGGAGAAGCACTTCTTACTTGGGCCTTGGATCCTCAGTCCTCCTCTGATCTACCCATCTCCACCAGAACCGTACAGGCTTTGTCCGAAGTCGAGGCCTTTGCTCTGTTAGCTGACGACCTCAAGTTCGTCTTCTCCCAGAACCGGCGTCTCCATAGCAAACAGCTCCAGCACATTTTCAGATTCTACTCCGTGCAGTGGAGGACATGGGCGGCCAGCTTCATACAGGCAGCCTGGCGGAGATATTGTAAAAGGAAGCTTCTTAAGTCGTTACGGGCAGAGGAAACTAATGACGCCAGCCAATCGCCGAGCCTTGGCGCCACGATTAACGCATCGAGATTTGCAGCCAACGCGTTGGGAAACTTGCGACAGCATGAGACTCCCACCCCCAGAATGCTGCCTCAGAAGCCGGCGGAGCCTGATTTTACTGCTGATCAAGGCCACTAAATGTTAATTCTCTGTTTTTTTTCTATTTTCTGTTTTATATATGCCTGGGATAAATTCGGAAGAATGATATGTGGTAAATAAGGCATGTGGAACCTAGATGATGATATGGCTGCCAAGTAAGATTAATTATGTGTTGTCCTTTTATGTTATGTCTGAGGTCGTTTCTAATCGGGTTAGGTTATTTTTAGCTCTGCGTTTCATTTTTGGAGGAGTCCACAATATTTTCTTCAACCTCTAGCCTTCTGTTCTTTTTTTTTCCTTGTTTTTTTTTTGGGTACATTTCTGTTCTTGTTATTTTTCTGGAATTATTCTGTAATTGTTGGATTTTCAGACAACTGTTTGAAAAATATATTGGAGATCTTTCTTTCTTTTCTACCAGATTTCCCTTGTTATTTTCTCTAAAGGAATTTATCGAGAGTCAATTCAGGCTTTCCTTATTTTTCTCACCTATCTTTCATTTTATCTGCATCTTTAAGAATCTGTAAAATATTCTGCTTAGTTAAAAGGCTTAATGAAAACATGTTTCTTCATCTCAAGAATTTCCAAAAGGAAAAGAAAAAAAAAGTCACTTTTTGAGTTTAATTTTTCTAAGCTCCCTGCCTTTTTCTTTTTCTGAATTTTCTTAGCAACCAAACAGGATATAAGGAAACATGATCACTGTCTTTTCCAAACCACTAACACTGTTAATACACAGCGTTTTAATCCATTTAACGAGTAATGTTCATTCCATGAATGAGACTATATGATTCATTACATAGAATATCTCTATCTAATACGATTCTGGAACAGAAATTTATTCAGCAATGTATTTATTTAGAGACTTTAGTTGATTTGATCTTCTATTTGCAAGCAGCATGAAGACTTGATGATGTAACATAAGCTCCGGTATGATCAAACAAGAACCAAAGTGCTAGCCCTGCATCAAATTCAAGTAAGAAGATTACAAAAACTCACCAAAAAAATGTACAAAAATCTTGAGATAGATAGAATGAGATACTTGGAACAGTCAGTGTTTTGATCAATGGGAGGGATGGTGCCGCTGGAAATTCCACATTTAACAGGAAGCTGGGGTATGCGAGACGCGTCGTAGGATCCAATTTGAGCCAGAGCTTTCTTGAGGCAATTGCAGATAGCTACGCGATCTTTTTTGCTTTTTGCATAGTTGGCAATCTCTGTAATGCCGGCACAACACTCCTTAGTTGGTTCCCCGCCATCTGTCAGGAAGCTCAGGCATGGGCCCACGTCTTTGACTATCTGTGAGCATGGAGGAGCATCAGGAGTTTGAGCCAGAACTGATGTTGAGAGCACAAGGAACAATATTAGATATCTCATATGGCAAGCCATGGCGATCACTGTTTTCGTTTGGGGCGAATGCCAATCAGGGATGAGGGAATTTAAAGGTGCAGATACCTGCAAGGTGTTCAGTTTGGTTTATGTGGTTGTTTGTTGGCATGCAAATTTTATGATATCCAATTTCATGCTGGTGCTGGTTTCTATCACATTTGAAGATGCGTGCAAAATTTCTAGTTTTGCATGTGAAATCCATGATCACATTTCACAACTTCCTTGTGCACTCTTTTTATGAAACATGCTGATGCCTCTACAATCACTAATACCATAATCAGGATTTGAATGATGTAATCCTAATAAACCAGAGTAACTGATGTTTGTTAAACAATATTTTTGTGATTTCTAATCTTTAACGGTCTGTAACAAAAAATCCAAAGTATGGTGCTAAAGTTTATTTATCAGTATTTACAAGATTTATGTTACAATTGTTCCTCTGTCACGGGTCTTATGATTTTCGGACTACAGGTTTGGGGTCAGGACCACGCTTTGCGTACAACGAGCCTGCAACGGATGGCACTTCTGACGGAGAAGAAACTGTTGCAGAATGGGGTTGGAAGTTTGTGCTGCCAATGAACCAGTACAGAGCCCATTTGAGATTGCACAGGGTGTACTTCAGAGCTTTGGTCCAATTCTCCTGCTTATTGAAACTCTGGGTGATAGAGTAGTTTTCCACTTTGTCATTCTCAATCCTGCATGAGGCCATGAATAACACGGCATCAGATGTGCTCACCATGCTTGTAACTAAACAAGTTTATTTTCAACTAATATTCTAAACAGTTCAGAGAAAAATTTCTCTCCACACCACTACTAAATTACTAATCCATGAAGGAAAGGAAGCTTACTTATAGGGCAATTTGAAACATTTTTCAGGTGGAATGTTGTTTTCTTGATCTTTAGAATGTGCAAACTCTGCAAAGTCCTTGAGACATGTCAAGAACAATGTCATTGCTTTGTCATAGCGAGTGCTCCAAAACAGGTTCACTGGACCAAACCTATAAACGTACATAATAAGATTGAGAAACAACAGGTACTTAAAAATTCAGTTTGAAATGCTACAAGTTTAACACATTGAATCAAATCATTCACGGTTGTTAGTACTTACAACTCATAAGTGTTGCTGCTGCTGTCCATTATCCGAGGATAGCTCCCCATGGGGATAATTTTAATACGATATCTGAAGGTTAACAATTAAGGATTAAGGATATATCCCATCTCAATTTACCAAGCGTCAGTCCCCCCAACAAAGGGGGGGGGGGGAGAGTAATAAAACCACCCTAGTTGAGATATATAAAGCGTCATGAATGCAGACTTAAATTAGTGCTTTGGCTTAACATTGTCAACTACATGATTGTATAGTTGCCTCAATGAAAAGGATACTGAAACTTCGGCCGAAAATATTGACACATTGTGTGGAGAAGAAGGCAAGCTTGGCCCCAGGCAGCATTTATCTCATCCCACTCAACCTAAATGTTTCAACATGACATGAAGATCACAATCAAACCCATATTTCCAGAAGATAACTTCCAACTTGGAAACGGTTTTTCAAAATCAGCAATCTTTTTGAAGAATTTGCCAGTTAGGCCAAGGGTTTTTTCTTTTTTTTTTGGTGATTATGTTTCGACTTGTGGCACTCATACAGCAATGGCAGCCCAAGAAAAAAAATTCTCAAATTACTGAAACAAAAAACAATTTCAAAAATGGAAAATAGTCAAATTTCTTACAGGAATTTTGGGTAGTCGTCCAAGACGAAAATTGTTAATGGTTCCAAATTCTCCATCATGCCAGATGGGGAAAGCATCATTAAGCACATTAGTTCGCTTCAACAATTCTAAATGTGCTTGTGAAACTTCAATCTTGGCCAAAATTGCATCTCTCTCTTCCTGTTCATCAAGAGTATTAGTTTCAATGAATATTTTTTTCTTTTTAAGAAAGTATTTGTTCCAATGAGAAGGCAGTAGAAGACTACCAGATACAAATAATTAAAGATAAATGAATAAACATGCAGAGGAAATGCTTCACAGTTTAAAAGTCAGTTAAGAACAATCAAGAACTCAATGAAAAGGTATTAGCCAGAAACCTGATGAGCAATTAATTGAAACTGGAAATTATTGAATTCCTGCCAGTACCTGTTACACATTGATTTGAAAAGGCATAAAACACTGCAGCTTTATATCAGGCTTATCAAAGATGAAATAATTGCAGAAGAAACTTACCGTTCCTCCAATTCTTTCAAGCGGTTTGACTTTTGCTCTAATTCCTTTAGTTGAGAGTTCACTTCTGCATTCCGTTTCTCAATTTCTTCAATTTCCACATTTAGTTTTCTTTCTTCCTCCTCAATCTTGCAGAACCAACAGACATTCAAAAAAGCATTTGACCAACTAAAAATCTTAAAATGGATAAGGAAGATTCTAAAAGATATAAACTTCCTGCTCCCCTCACCCCCACCCTAAAAAAGGTTCACGCATCAGGCCAGGCAACCAATTACCTTTAATTTCTCCTTAAGAAAATCAGCCTCACTAAGAACATCCTGTGGCTCACCCTCCAAGCGTTGAAGGCAGGCTTCATATGCTTCAATGTCCCTGGTCACATCTTCAACCTCCTTATCAAGTTTGTCAGACAGCACCCTCATGCAATCCAGGCATAAAGGTTGCTCAACCTGGATATGCAAAAACAATATAAAGTCATAAACCAAATACCTAATAGTTGACACATATAATGCAAAAAAATTATATATAGTTCAAAACACAACACCAATCCACAAGATTTAAATCATGGATACCTGTGTTTGGGTAGTGGCAATCTCAAATGCACGTTTCAGAACAGTTATAGTTGAGTGAAAACCAGAGTTATTAGGCTGCATTGGACTATTTGGTCCTCCTTCTGGCAGTGGTAAATGGGTTGAACTTCCATCAGATGCAGACTCGGACTTGTACACAACTACAAATGATTCTTCCATAGCCTTCCCAGACTGGCCTGCATCTGGCTGACCAAGCCCACTACGAGGTCTGGGAGGAACCCCTTGAGCTGGGGGTCTTTGCTTTGGCAACACAACAAAAGAGTTATCCATTCGCGTTGAACCCAACACACTATTAGCCACATGGATAGAAGACCCCTGCATTGCTGCAATTGTTTGTTGCAGAACCAGACCATATGTATCAGAACAGAGAACTGAATTCCTAACGCAATTCTTCTATTAATTTTTTTTCTGCAACTGACCTACAGAGTGGCTTACCGTGCTCCAACATTCATGAACACCTTAATCAATCACAAATTACCATTTTTTGCTATAATTAACCCATGTTTTAACAATATAGGAACAGAAAATTTCAACTTTCCCGAGTTCACTAGAAATTAAACAAAATAATCTCAAGAAAAAAACAAAAATTATTACAATTCCTTAGCTATGAACGCAAAATTTAGACAAAGTTGAAAGATTTACGCCGACGAAACTCAATTCCAACTAGAAAACCCTAACCTGAGCGAGAGGAGTCGTTCAAGAACTTTTCGGCATAGGAATCGACGCCGACGATGCAGAGGTTGTGGTGGCAATTCTGGCAGACCCATTTTGGGACACTCGGATCCACAGGAAAAGTCCGACCTTTATCAGGCATATCGTCTTTCTTCATTCCTTAATTGCTCTCTGGATTCCGTTCCTTTCAATCTTGGCGACAAGGCGCAAAATCCCTGCGATTTTCTTCTCCGGCTTAGCTCTAGGATTTGCTTGTTTCGCTGGAACACGCTTCGCAAAAGGGATTTTCCACTTTATTCTTTTTTTCGATTTTTATTTTCCCTTTTCTTTACCGTAATACTAGTTCGGATCTGAATCCGGGTCTCCGGGTTTTTCGTTAAAGCTCTACCCGTTTTAATCAGGTCCACTTGCAAAACCTAATTAATTTTTTTATTTTTTTTTATAATTTTACTTTTTATTTAAATAATTAAATTTTTTTATTTATTTAAAATTTATAATACTTTTTAAAATATAAAATTTATAATATTAAATTTATTTATTTATTTAATAATATATAAACATTATATGAACCGACACATAGAACCAAGTGACGTCCGTCACCTCTTGTGTGAAGGTTCATCACCTTTCTTGAATAATTGTTTAATCTGATTTTATGACAATTTGTTTAAAAATATATATATAAATATTATATAAAAAATACAAAAAATTTTACCTATATAACTATGCTTATGTTGAGAGAAAAAAAAAATAATGATTTTTAGATTTTTTTTTTAACTAGTATAATAATAATCTTGGCCACACACAACTCATTTACAGTTGGTTAAAATCATCAGTTTAAATTTAGCTAATAATTGATGTTCAATGCTAATAATTGTTGTTACGTATAATTTATACGGTAAAAAAGTAAGCATTAATTTATATGGTAAAAAATTAAGTAAAAAAATTTAAAATTATATTATTTTAACAAAATTTTATTAAAAAATTAAAATATCTTAATTTTTAAAATAAAAATAAAATTTTTTATAAAATTTTATTAAAATAATATAATTTTAAAATATTTTTCAACATAATTTTTATAATATAGGTTTATAACCATCAATCTCATATCTAATGAAGTAATGATTCAGGTTTTTCTGCCGGGATTTTTTATTTGTTAAGTTAAAACAATAAATATTGGGAATTGAAAATAGAGATTAATATTTATTGCGGGATGTGTAAAAAATTAAGTAAAAAATATTTTTAAATTACATTATTTTACTAAAATATTAAAAAAAATAAAATACCACCATCTTTATTTTAAAAATAATTAAACTATTTTTTTTACTAAAATGTTATTAAAATAATATAATTTTAAAATATTTTTTATCCTTTTTTTTTTTTTTAACATGAGATATTTTTTATCTTTTGAAATAAGGGAGTGGAAAATTTTAATGTGTAAAAGTACAAATAAAAATGTTAATTTTATATATAAAAAGATTATTATTAGTGGCGGTTCGCTACCTCTTCGAAAGACCAAAAAAGCCCCAAATTATCGTGCTCTCCTGACCGATCACCATCTCAAATCAAATCCCTAGGTTTTTTTATTTCCTCTGCAATCGATCAAATTCCTCGACGACAGAAGCATTACAACAATGGCAGATCAAATCAACAGCGCCGCTGATAATCAGCGAAGGCCGTTGCAGCTATTCGTGAAGCTTCTTAATGGCGAAACCCTATCTCTCCAATTCCCGACTCCTGCCATCGAAGCTCGATCCGTCAAGTGCCGAATCTACGAAATCACCAAAATTCCTGTCCAACTCCAGCGCCTGATACGCGGTCACCAGTTGAAAGATGATTCGGTGGTATTTCACTCTGATGCCACCCTCAACCTCTCCCTCCGTCTCCTCGGTGGTAAGGGGGGTTTTGGTTCGTTACTGCGTGGAGCGGCCACCAAGGCTGGGCAGAAGAAAACAAGCAACTTCGAGGCGTGCCGGGATATGAGTGGGCGGCGGCTGAGGCACGTTAACGCAGAGCGCAGACTGGAGGAGTGGAAGGCGGAGGAGGAACAGAGACGGCTAGAGAAAATTGCGGAAGATTTCATAAAGAAGAAAGCAAAGAAGGGGAAGAAGGGTGTTGGGGATGGTGAAACAACGAAGTACGTGGAGAAGTACAGGGCGGAGTCAGCGAAGTGTGTGGCTGTCGTTGAAGAATCAGTCAGGGAGGCCTTCAAGAACGGAAAGAGGAAAACGCTATCAGATGGAGCTGATGCAAAGAGGGTGAAGATATGGTAAGGACTTTTGTGTTTTTAAATTTTCTGATTTTGGTTTTGTTATTCCCTGTTAGTATGACTGATTGTATGTGCTTGTATTGGAAATTGCTCTAGGGTTGGTTTTTTTCTTGCTTCCAGAAGCCTTCATTGATATTGATATCTAAATTGTGTTGCTTTTTTAGGATGGGTAAGAGAAAAATGGATGATGATATGGACGGTGATAGCAGTGAAGATGAGGGTGATGAAGATGAAGAAAGTGAGAAGTCTGTTGTTTTGAATAATAATGGAAATCATTCAGATTCTAATAAGGGGACTCAGGGTAGCCCAGGTTCAGTTACTGGTGGGACACAAGAAAGGGACTTTTCGGGTGGAGCATCAGCTGAGAGTGGTTCAGAGGAAGAGAGGGAAAATTTTCCATGGCAAGGCTTGGGATCTGGTAAAAAAGATGTACCTAATGTGGATAATACTGTCCTTGAATCAGATTTTCATGAAGAAAAGGTGGTGCAAAGTTCTGGCAGATCCCACACTGAACCTGCTGTGATTACTGGAACTGAAGCACCTCATGTGGAAAGGCTGGAAAATAATGAATCTGGAACTGAAAATAAGGAGGAACTAGGTGGTCTACCACCCAAATGTGTTTCAAGGGTAGATAATGGAGTCGTCAATGGCCAGCTAATTAATGCTGAAGTCAATAGCTCTCCTGACTCTAAATCTGGA